GTTTTACAGTTGGTTTGTCCATGAATCGACTAACTACCCCAACTGTAAAAGATAGATCAGGTCGAGTATGAGTGAGATACCTTAGAGCACCAACTATGCTTCTGTACTCCGTGGGGTCTACCAATTCGCCTTCTTCATCTTTGCTCAATCGTAGCTTGTGCTCCATTGGACTCCTTGTTGCATTGCAGTCAATCATTCGAGTCTTGTTGAGAATGCTCTTTGCATAAGCTTCCTGCTTCAATGTAATTCCTGTATCACTTTGATTGACCTCGATTCCCAGGTAGTAAGTCAATAGCCCGAGATCGCTCATCTCGAATTTTGCATTCATCTCCAATTTGAAGTTCCTTACGTCTTCATTACAGCTTCCTGAGACTAGCAGATCATCTACATAAACCCCCACGATTAGAACATTCCCATCTTTCTTTCTTGTATACACTGAGTATTCTTGGTAGCATCTTCTGAATCCCAATTCCTTCAAGTAGCTATCAAGACACGAATTCCACGCTCTTTGTGCCTGTTTTAGCCCGTACAAGGCTTTCGATAGGTTGTATACTTTCCCAATTTGCCCCTTCTTCTCGAATCCTTCTGGTTGTGTTACGAAAACTTCTTCATTCAACTTCCCATTCAAGAACGCTGATTTCACGTCGAGGTGATGGACTTTCCACCCATTGGACCCTACGAGTGCCAAGATCACACTGACAGTTTCGATCCTCGCCACAGGAGCAAACACTTCTTCGTAGTCTACTCCTTGCTTTTGTACGTACCCTTTTGCGACGATCCTGGCTTTATACTTAACAATTTTTCCAGTTGGATCTCTTTTCACCTTGTAAACCCACTTCAAGCCAATCGGTTTTCTTCCTTTTGGGAGTTCGACAAGTTCCCAAGTGTCGTTCTTCTCGATTGATGCTATTTCACTCTTCATCGCAGCAATCCAATCGCGTTTTGACTTTGCTTCTCGATACGATGTGGGCTCTTCCTCATCTTGAACAAGCATCAATCTTGCTATCTATTCTTTGGTCATCGGGGCTGTGTTTTCATACAAGTCGGAGAAAAGACGATACCGCTTTGGGGTGCCACCGCCTGTGGAGCTAGAGGCTGTGCTATCTGAATTTATCGGCGAGATTGGTGAATTGGGGGTCGCCGGCGAATTTGGGGATGTGGGTGAATTTGTCGCGGAAGACGGGTTTAGAAGCTCGTCTTGTGGGCTAACACCAGGTGGGCTTATATCCGAGTCGTTGGGCTCCATTTCTTCATTAACCCAATCTTCATCATTTTGACAATCACCGTGACCCGCTTCGTTTGAAGGTGCATGACCATCTTCATCATCTTTGCCATTTTCGTTGACTTCATCGAAGTCAAAATCAGGCACAGTGAGAGTTACGCTTGGTTCGCTTCGAATTTTCTTCGTCTTCTCCCAAGACTACGTTTGATTTTCTTCGAAGACTACATCCCGACTCACGTACATTGATCCTGTGTCTGGATCCAATAGTCGATATGCCTTCGTTCCTTTCTCTGCACCTAAATGTATGACTTTCATGCTTCGCTCATCTAATTTCTTTAGATGATTCTTGGCAATTCTCATGTGAGCAACGCATACAAAAACTCGAAGGTGACCCACCTGTGGTTTTCGACCAGTCCACATTTCATAGGGTGTAGAATTGTCAAGAGCTTTTGTGCTGATTCTGTTCAGAACATACACCGCGTGGCTTACTGCTTCACCCCACAGTACTTCAGGGACATTCATGGTCTTTAAGTTACTCCTTACCATCTCTAGAATTGTTCGATTGTGCCTCTCCACAACCCCATTTTGTTGTGGAGAGTAGGGAGATGTGTAGTGACGTTCTACACCATTTTCGTTACAAAAACTGGTAAATTCATTAGACAAGAATTCACCCCCATGATCTGTTCTTAGGATCTTAATTCTCTCCCCTGTGTCATTTTCTACTTGTGCCCTGAAGTTCTTAAACGTCTGGAACGCTTCACTTTTGGTTTTGAGCAAGTACACCCACATTACTCTACTGAAATCATCAACTAGGAGCATGAAATACCTGTTTCCTGACGGTGTGGGAGGTGAGACTGGACCACACAAGTCGCCATGAATGAGCTCTAATTTCTTCTTTGCTCTGAAGCTTGAATGCGATGGGAATGGCTTTCTAGTCTGCTTTCCCACCAAACACTCTTCACATGGTTGTGTTGGGACAACAATTTTCGCCAGTCCTTCAATAATTCCCTTGTCTGACATTTCTTTCAACGCTCCAAAATTAACGTGCCCCATTCTTGTGTGCCATAGCCATGTCAGATTAGAAAGTTCTGCAACCAGGCATAGTGAGCTTATCTCCTCCAATTCTATCTTGTACAAACGATTTTGAGATCGCTGGACCTTCATCAACAATCTCCCAGCTTTATCATGGACCCACAGATATGGTTCCCTTATAGTGATCTCATCGCCGACTTTAGATAATTGACCCATGCTTATTATGTTGCTGCACAAATCAGGTACATAGTATACCTCTTTCAGTTGTCTCTGTTCGCCATTTTTGCATTGAAACAAGATCGTGCCCTTCCCTTCAATTCAAACTCTCGATTCGTTCCCAAATCGTAGATAGCCTTGAATCGTCGTGTCTAATTCTCTGAATTTTCTCTTGTCTCCGGTCATATGGTTGCTCGCCCCTGTATCTAGGTACCACGACTTTGAGTGTCGTTGGTGCCCTCCCTTCGTTTTCAACCTTGGGTTTACCCCTTCCTCGTTTAAGAACACCTCCCCTGTTTCTTCTTTTATTTCGAAAGAAGCCAGTAGAAGTGCAGGTTCATTATTAAGATGATCCTGGATCAAATTGTTTTCTTGTACCCTCTCTCGTCTAGGGCTCTTACACTCAGCTGCATAATGCCCGTACTCTTGGCAATTATAGCACTGAACCCTACTTTTGTCTTGATTGCTTGAAGATGCACATTGCCCTTCCTTTTGATTGTGCGAGTGACCTCTTCCACGTCTCCCACGACCTCCAGAATTACTGCCTCTTCCACGGCCTTTGCCTCGTCCACGAGAGCTCCCACGATTCTCTTTGTGCTTTGGATCATCTCCCCTTTTTTTATACTTCTCATACCATTCTTGATGGGTTAGAAGTAGTTTGCGATCGTCTGCATCACCATGCCCCTTCATCCTCTCTTCATGTGCTTTTAATCTCCCGATTACCTCTTCAGTGGTCATCGTTTCCAAGTCCCCAAATTGTTCCAGTGTGGAAGCAAGTTGGAGAAATTTGGTAGATACATCCCTGAGAAGTTTCTTCACGACATAAGCTTCTTCAACTTTATCTCCCAATGTTCGCATTGTGCTGACCAGATGATTCACTTTCGCAGCGAATTCATCCATTCCTTCTGAGTCTTTCATTATCAAGGATTCAAACTCTGCTTTTAACGTCTGAATCCTTGCAATCTTCACACGATCAGCTCCCATGAACATCGTCTTTAGGGCATTCCACACTTCCTTTGCAGACTTCTTCTCTGATAACGACAGCAACAGATCCTCCGGTATCCCTTGATAAATCACCGCCAACGCCATCATGTCATTCTTTGTCTCCACCACTGTGTTCGAGGTTCATGGTTCAACTGCATCCCACACGCCTTGTGCCATCATGAACACTCTCATCTTTATTGCCCACGCTGCGTAATTTTCCCTCGCCAACATCGGATAGTGGAGAGAAATCTGGCTATCTTTCTGACCGTTTCCATTGCCATTTCCTCCTGTATTTCCAGTCATCTCTTCACGAGATTGATACTTGGGCATACACCAGGTTGCTCTCATACCACAATGTTGGAATTTCCTAGCTTTTCACAAGCTTTTCAGAAGACAGAGCAAGTTATAAAACACAGAGGAATTGAGGCAAATGCTTCTTCGTGTTTATTCTAATTGTAATAGGGAACAAATAACAATGTACACATTGCCTATATTTAAAGAGAGAGAACTAGCGAGAAAACAGAAACGACCTCAACTAAGCTAAAGACCAGGACTCCGCTGGTTGATTTATTCTTCTAAACTACTCAAACATAAAACGTGCTTAATAATAAAAGAAAACACCTGAATTATTATAACATACCCCTCTCTCAGTCCGTTGGGAGCAGGGGCGGACCTAGGGGTGGTCCACGGTGGCACCGGCAACCCCTAACTTTTCTGGCCGCAGTGGAAAATTTTTCGAAAATTTTATTTTTTATACTACCGTGCAACTCCTACTGTAAAATCCTGCGTCAGCCCCTGGTTGGGAGCTTGGCCGTGCAAAGTTAAGTTTAATATAGTTAAAAGGAAAAGCGTTGATGTGGTTATTATCACAAGTATTTGGGTTCTTTGAAACTTCTGTAACATTTTATTTGGAATGATTAAGTCTAAAAAAATAATGAAGATCTTTGACAAAATGATATTTTCCTGGTATTTTTGGATTGTGATAAAAGCAAGAAGAGTAAGTTGAATTGAGTTGGTTTGTTGCACACTCGTAAACTAGCTATCTCTATTTTGTAATAAATTATTTTCTAGCATTATGATAGTTTTATAATAAATTTCTGCCATTCAAAAAGACAATATTAAAATAGATAGTATTTTGTGAGGAGAGGAGAGGGAGATTATTAAAACGTAAAAGAAAGTAAAGGGTAATATCTCATCTCTGTCACATATAATATGCATGTGAGCAGATAGAGGGGATGATGATTAGCTGCACCTTCATATCCACTGATGATCATTACGCATGATAATTATAACGCCTTTTATTTTAGAAAAGTACATAGGATTAGAACCATAACTAAAACCGAAATATTTAAAATTTTAAAATTAAAAACCGAAACGATGTAAATTACATTCCAAAAAATTTAGACAACTATTATCAGTCTATTTTTATATAAATTTATATGCTACTTTTGCACTCATGGAAGGTTCTAAGGTGGGCATTATGTGATGAAACAGGAGTAGTATATAAAAGACTAGAGAGGCTTTCATTAAGCTCATCGTTCTTTTGTTCAAGTTCAATCAAACATGGCTTTGAAGAATGCTTTGATTGCATTAACGGCGCCTCTTCCTTCCATCTTCTTCTACATCTCCTTCCTTAATCACTACCAAAACGATCAACATCTACTCTCACCTCTATGGAATTGGTGCTATCGACACCCCCTCATCTTGGCCAACACCATATTCTTCCTCAACATCGATGTCGGTTTCTGGCTCATTAGCCTCCTCCAATCCAGCAACTGGGTAAACTCTCTGATCTGTGTTTGATTTCATTACATCTATCACTACTACCCTTATTCAATCATTGCCATTTACTCATTTAGTAGTGTGTGATTTTTAACGACTGGATCTATACTGGTGGTGGGTTTTGCAGATGATAGACTTGTATTGGACTGTTATTCCGGTTTTGTTGGCGCATTACTTCGCGAGCCACCCTGATGGGGAATATAACATGTGGCGGTCTGCGGTGGTGGTGGGGTTGACATGGGTTTGGGCTGTCCGATTGACTCATAACTATCTCCGCCGGGAGAAGTGGCAATGGGGTGCGAGAGAGGATTGGAGGTTCACCGATATGGCTCAACAACATGGCCAAAACTGGTGGTGGGTTTCGTTCTTTGGTGTTTACCTCATTCAGCAGGTAAATCTTAATTATTATTTATTTTGTTTTTTATTTACTTAGTATTACATGATTCGATGTAATGTCACCAAAAAATAAAAAATAAAAAAATAAAATAAAAATGCCGTTGCTATTTCTTGCATTTAATCCAAAAGTTTATTAATAATCTCCATTTTATTGACATAGGTATTCCTATTTGGAGTATGTATACCTCTCTACATTGTCCACACTGTCAACAAGCCAGTCAACATATGGGACGTAGTTGCATCAATCGTCTGCATTTGTGGCATCGCCTACGCGTATTTAGCGGACACCCAACTTTACACATTTGTAACCAAAAATGAAAAACTAAAAGAAGAAGGAAAGGCTTTGGTGCCTAATCTAAACAAAGGGTTGTGGTATTATTCTAGACACCCTAACTATTTTGGTGAGCAACTATGGTGGTGGGGACTTGCTATCTTTGGTTGGAGCCTAGGGGGCACTTGGGTCTTTATTGGTGCACTTATAAACACGTTGTGTTTGGCGTATGTGACCACACTTGTGGAAAAAAGAATGCTCAAACAAGAGTATAGGGTAGAATCCTACAAGATGTACCAAAAGACAACTTCTATCTGGGTACCTTGGTTCAAATCATCCCCTATACAAGTGTTTAAAGACAAGGATTGTTGATTTTTTGACATGTATTTCATATGATTTGTTTGTTTAGTCGAGCATGTTGGCTCATTTGTCTTTAAATCGTGTGAAATCATGTTTTTTATTTATTATTTGTGTAAAAATGGTTTTGAATGTTAAAAAATTTGATGGAATATGTATAAGTAGGAATGCAAATTGCTAAGAATGTCGTGAGTGGAGAATAACCGATAGAATGTTTGTTGACTTTGATACCATGTTCGTGATATTAATCTAAATGTGAGATTTAATATCGGGATATTTTCCAAAATAACCATTTTTCTTAATTACATTTAACATTCTAGCCATCTTTTTGAGAAATAACAAAAATGACCATGTATTTCGAAACTTGGTCGGTTATGAGATGCTTTTTGATTTACAAAACATTTTTTCTGAATAAGTTTTTGAAATTTGTTAGAATTTCGAAATGTTCACGATATTTATGTTTAAAATATTTCTACTTTGAATTTTTGAAATCGTTCTTAGAATTTTGAAATAAACATTTTCTTTAAATGTTTTTTTTTAAATTTGAAATTTCGAAATATTTTGGAATCTCACATCTATCTGGTTGTGAAATTGATGGTGATCAATGAAAATATGGTCAAATTGATAAAAACATTTTCAAAATATAGTCATTTTGGTGAATATCCCTTTTATATTTTTCACTTTCCAAAAACATTCAATACCAAAAGTGTATAGAACTTCACCTGGAATTAAACAACAGCTAAAGTAAGAACCGATTTACATCAATGATGAAACCAATATATGCTACTGAGTTCCTCACAAAATTGTATAAACACATGATCACAATAGCACGCACTAAGAAGATAAAATAAGGCTATCTCTTCATTTTAATCCTTAAAAATGGAAACAAAAATATGTGTTTATCTTCATATTTTCAACTTCATGCTTCAATATGAACACATGGGCAATATACGTATCTTTGAATGTGAACACATGGTCACAATAGCACCCACTAAGAAGATAAAAGTATGAAAAATGTTATTTAAGGATTTCATTGGTATATAATTTTGAAACAATGTGTTAATGAGTAAACAAGGATGAAAATTCAAGATGAAAACTTCTTGATGTGAAAATTAAGACATGTTGAGGCATTGAAGTACATTGCTAATTTGTACTTAGCCTTATTTGTGATAAAGTGCATATTAACACATGTGAAAAGCTTGTCGTTTTAGAAAAGTTGAAGCATATAACATGTAACAATATAATCCCGAAAATTGTGGCATCGCCTACGCGTATTTAGCGGACACCCAACTTTACACATTTGTAACCAAAAATGAAAAACTAAAAGAAGAAGGAAAGGCTTTGGTGCCTAATCTAAACAAAGGGTTGTGGTATTATTCTAGACACCCTAACTATTTTGGTGAGCAACTATGGTGGTGGGGACTTGCTATCTTTGGTTGGAGCCTAGGGGGCACTTGGGTCTTTATTGGTGCACTTATAAACACGTTGTGTTTGGCGTATGTGACCACACTTGTGGAAAAAAGAATGCTCAAACAAGAGTATAGGGTAGAATCCTACAAGATGTACCAAAAGACAACTTCTATCTGGGTACCTTGGTTCAAATCATCCCCTATACAAGTGTTTAAAGACAAGGATTGTTGATTTTTTGACATGTATTTCATATGATTTGTTTGTTTAGTCGAGCATGTTGGCTCATTTGTCTTTAAATCGTGTGAAATCATGTTTTTTATTTATTATTTGTGTAAAAATGGTTTTGAATGTTAAAAAATTTGATGGAATATGTATAAGTAGGAATGCAAATTGCTAAGAATGTCGTGAGTGGAGAATAACCGATAGAATGTTTGTTGACTTTGATACCATGTTCGTGATATTAATCTAAATGTGAGATTTAATATCGGGATATTTTCCAAAATAACCATTTTTCTTAATTACATTTAACATTCTAGCCATCTTTTTGAGAAATAACAAAAATGACCATGTATTTCGAAACTTGGTCGGTTATGAGATGCTTTTTGATTTACAAAACATTTTTTCTGAATAAGTTTTTGAAATTTGTTAGAATTTCGAAATGTTCACGATATTTATGTTTAAAATATTTCTACTTTGAATTTTTGAAATCGTTCTTAGAATTTTGAAATAAACATTTTCTTTAAATGTTTTTTTTTTAAATTTGAAATTTCGAAATATTTTGGAATCTCACATCTATCTGGTTGTGAAATTGATGGTGATCAATGAAAATATTGGTCAAATTGATAAAAACATTTTCAAAATATAGTCATTTTGGTGAATATCCCTTTTATATTTTTCACTTTCCAAAAACATTCAATACCAAAAGTGTATAGAACTTCACCTGGAATTAAACAACAGCTAAAGTAAGAACCGATTTACATCAATGATGAAACCAATATATGCTACTGAGTTCCTCACAAAATTGTATAAACACATGATCACAATAGCACGCACTAAGAAGATAAAATAAGGCTATCTCTTCATTTTAATCCTTAAAAATGGAAACAAAAATATGTGTTTATCTTCATATTTTCAACTTCATGCTTCAATATGAACACATGGGCAATATACGTATCTTTGAATGTGAACACATGGTCACAATAGCACCCACTAAGAAGATAAAAGTATGAAAAATGTTATTTAAGGATTTCATTGGTATATAATTTTGAAACAATGTGTTAATGAGTAAACAAGGATGAAAATTCAAGATGAAAACTTCTTGATGTGAAAATTAAGACATGTTGAGGCATTGAAGTACATTGCTAATTTGTACTTAGCCTTATTTGTGATAAAGTGCATATTAACACATGTGAAAAGCTTGTCGTTTTAGAAAAGTTGAAGCATATAACATGTAACAATATAATCCCGAAAATACATTATATTTTTTGAATGAACAGTTTATAACAATAACAAACCATATACATATACATATGATTAAAAATAGAAGGTTATTAAGGGAAGAAGATAGTGCAAACCAAACACCAATATAAAGAGGTTTACCCAATCTTTGTACGTCCACTCTCCGGTAAACCCATAGATCGACCGACTAACAATGAAAACTTTATGGTGGAGTTCGAAAACATATTATTAAGTAATAAAAATATAACCTAATCAAGAAGGAGATATGGCCCTCATCTATGGAAGGGATCTGAAACACCAATTTTGTTATTTCATCAAAAATCATGAGGTTCACGTTAGAATAAAAAAAAAGAATGAGAAAATTTTAAATTTTGAGTATTTTAGGATTTTTACTTTTCTATTCTATTCTATTTTTAAGTTTAGTTACTTGGAATTTTAGCAATTTTGTTCTATGATTCTACATTTGCTTGAGGGAAAGAAAGGTTTAAGTGTAGGGAATTTTGATATTTCTAAAAGTAGCCATAAAATATGATTAGTTATATTAGTATTTTAAATGAATAATTCTAAAATAAGGATAAATATGATATACAAATGTTCATATTTGATAAATAGAGTAAAAATCCATAAATAAGCATTAAAGAAGGAAAAATGAGCTAAATATGTAGTGAATAAGGAAGAATTTCGAAGACATCATAAAGGACGGGTTTAGCGCTTCGAAGTTAAAGATTAACGACACGAAAGAGGATTTACTCCAGAAATATTCGATAAGGATAATAGTTAGCGTCATGAAGACAAAGGCTTAGCGCCGCTAATTTTATTTTTCTATAAATACGATATTTTCATATCTCAGAAAAGTGTACAAGAAAAGGAAACCATTTGAGATGCGAAAAATAACCATCGTTTGTTACTAGAAGGCAGAAGAGTTATAGAGGTGATCTAGAGAAATCTTGAAAAGAAGTATTAAGTTTGCAATGCTTAACATTCTTATTATTTATTTTTTGATGTACTGTAAACATGAGATGCTAATAACCTTCTCTCCCACTTAAATGTAGATGAACTAGAGTACTATGTTGTAATTATGATTTCGAAGTTACAAAGTTGATATTAAATTTGCTTTTTGATCAAATCTTCTACCTTACTTGTTAAATTTTCAATTTTTATTGTTTATATTTGAGTTGCATATAGTGTAGACAACGAATCTGATTATTCTAACTTATATCTTGATAGTTTTTGATCTTAAACTATTATGACTAGTGATTTAACTAATACTAGGGATTAAATAATATTTATCGGTAACTTTAACATCTAAGAGAGCATTAGTTTAACAACTTAAGCTAGGTTTATTTTATGAATTAGACTCTTGATTGAATCATAAGTAGTTTTATTCAATTAGTTGGTTTATAGGTTTATAGTTTTATGAACATTAAATTAGTCACTTACTAATCATAAAAACTACTAACTAGATCATAATTATTAGTATAGTTGATAAACATCTTTATACTTCAATGCACTATACACCATAAGAAATAGAGATTCGAAATTTAAGTGGATGTGCTTCCAAATCATTATCTTAACTTTAATATGTTTGTTATTTCGATTTTATTTAGATTTCAATTAAAATCCATCAATTTAATTTTTTATTCAATTGATTTAATCTGTTATCAGTCATACCTAATCCCCGAGAGTTCGACACCCTTATATACAACAACTATACTATATCTGATCAGGTTCACTGCTAATGTGAGGGTTAGTTAAGAAGTGTTAGATAAAGGTTTTATAAGTTTAAAACTTAAAAGAATTTTTAGTATAAAATCTCACATTAACACCATAAATTTTTTGAACTATGTTATACAATATGATCTGGTGTGGTGCACATGGTTTACATGATTTAGGTGCTTTTTGTTTTTTTGAAGCCAAAATGCATGTAGTCTGCAAATCACATCTACAACCATCTGCAACAGAGAGGTGGACTAAACATATGCAGTCTTCAATAAAAAGTCTGTTTTTTTTAACGTTTACAGACTTTTGAAATAAACTAAAATTGAAATAAACTATTTTACAAACATAAAATAGTTTTTCAACACCAAAATTTTAATAATTATAATATTACAACATTCAAATAAAATTAATACAACCAAATTAGTCTT